CTACGGGGGAAAATACCTCATTGTAGTCAATGCCTTCCTTCTGAGCGTAGCCTTTAGCTACTAATCTGGGTTTGAATCTTACATTGTCTTTTCCCAAAGATTCCATCTTCTTGGCATACACCCATTTACAACCAATTGCTTTCTTCCCCTTTGGTAACCGAACCAGCTTCCAAGTCTCATTTTTATGAAGAGATTTCATCTCCTCGTCCATAGATTTCTTCCACTCCACGCTCTCTGAACTCATGACAGCTTCTTTGTAGGCGGATGGAACATCATCTTCAATAACGGGAAGTGCATATGCCACAATATCAGTAAACCGAGCAGGCTTTCAAATTTCCCTTCTCGATCTTCTGGTTGCAATATAATCTTGTTGCTGTGGAGGCTCTTGGGTAGGTGCCTCCTCTTCATCATCCTCGTCCTCATCATCATAATCAACTGTAGGACTAATGTTTGTAACATCAGACCTTACTGGAACAACTGGAGTCTTCAGTAACTCCACCTACTTTGAACTACTCATGGTCTTGGTCGCTTCAGTTTCACCTTCATGCTTGTTCTGATTAACCATAGCAGTCTCATCAAAAGTCACATTTCTGCTTACAACAAATTTCTTCTCATCTGAACACCAGAGTCGGTATCCCTTCACGCCAGTGCTAAAGCCCATAAATAGAGCATTCTTTGCTCTTGGGTCCAACTTGCTTTCCCTAACATGATAGTAAGCAGGACAACCAAATATGTGTAAATACTTGTAATCAATACAAGGTTTACCATACCATACCTCCATGGGCGTTTTGCCCTCGTTCGCAGCAACCGACAACCGATTAATGAGATGGTTTGCATAAGTAATCGCCTCAGCCCAAAATGCGTTGCCTAAACCAGCATTAGACAACATACACCGGACTTTCTCAAGCAAAGTACGGTTCATGCACTCCACCACTCCATTCTGTTGTGGTGTCTCCCTAACCGTGAAATGCCTCACAATACCCTCATCTTGATAAACTTTCAAGAAAGGATCAGACTTGTATTCACCCCCATTGTCTGATCTGAGAGTCTTGATCTTTCAACCGCTTTGCGTTTCAATCATCTTTTTCCACTTCAAGAATATCTTCAAGACGTCATCTTTACGCTTCATGGTGTACACCCATATTCTTCTAGAGAAGTCATCAACAAAGGAGACAAAATAATGGCTACCTCCCCAAGATGCATTCTTGGAAGGTCCCCAAACATAAGTGTGAACATAATCAAGAATGCCTTTAGTGTTGTGAATAGCAGTAACAAATTTTACTCTAGTTTGCTTACCCAACACACAATGCTCACAGAATTCCAATTTGCCTGCCTTTGCACCTTTCAATAAGCCTTGCCTCACCAATCCTTGCAAAGCTTTTTCACCAGCATGCCCAAGACGCATATGCCATAACCTCGTAGTGTCTGTGCTATCTACGTTAGCAGCTTCGGTGACAGCTACTCCACCAATAACTGTACTCCCTTGCAAGAAATACAAGTTATTTCGTCTTGTACCTTTCATCACCACCAGTGCCCCGTACACAGCTTTAAGAACTCCACCCTCCATGGTGATCTTGAGACCTTTGGATTCCAAAGCGCCCAATGAGATAAGATTCTTCTTCATATCCGGTACATACCGAACATCACTCAATTCTCTTACTGTTCCATCATGCATCTTCAAATAGATTTTGCCTATCCCTTGTGTTTTGCAGGCATTATTATTACCCATCAAAACAACTCCACCATCCAGCTCCTCGAAGCTAGAAAACCATTCCCAAATGGAACACATATGATAGGTGCAACCTGAATCCAAAATCCACTCCTTGGAGTGACCATCAGCAGATGAACTAGCCAAAGCAAACTCGAAATCATCATCTCTAGATTTTGCAACATTTGCTTCAGAACCCGCTTTCTCCTTATCTTTGTTCTTCAATTTGGGGCAGTCTTTCTTCCAATGACCCTTTTGGCGACAAAAGGCACATTCATCTTTAGCAGGAAACTTTCCTTGCGACTTTGAATGAGATTTTCCCCGCTTCCCAGATTTTCTTTCCTCTGTTCGACCCCTTGCAACAAGTGCCTCAGTTTGTGAATTTTGTGTCTTCAATTCCTTCTTACGACACGCATGATTCACCAATGCCGCAGACACCTCATCAAGTTTCACCTCGGATTTTCCATACAACAAGGTAGTTGTCAAATGATCATAATCATCAGGCAATGAATTTAACAAACATAGTGTTTTATCCTCGTCAGGAATTTTCACATCAAGGTTTGCTAAATCAGTAAGTATTTTATTATAATCATTGAGGTATTCGTGCATAGAAATACCTGGACGATACTGAAATTGGAAGAGTCGCTTCTTCAAGAAGAGCCGATTTCCTGCACTTTTGGTCATATACTTCTCTTCCAATTTCGTCCAAAACTCCTTAGCAGAAGTTTCCTTCATATACGGGTATTTCAACTCCTTATCAAGGAATGATCGAATAGTGGCACAAGCATGAAGATTAATTCGCTTTCACTGCTTGTCATCAATATCTTCTGGTTTATCCTCCAGAACCATATCCAACTCTTGTTGATACAACACATCCATAACTTCACATTGCCACATACCAAAATTATTAAAGCCATTGAATTTATCAACCTCTAACCTTGTAGTAGCAATAGGATGTCTATTGGATGTAGGTGCCGATGATGACGATGTCGACTCCTTCTCCTTCACAAGTTCGTCTTTATCTCCAGCCATCAAATCCACTCGGCACTATTCACAGCACTGTAGCATAACTACTGTAGCCATCACTGTTCACAGACTGTAGCACCGACACTATTCACGACTGTAGCACAACACTATTCATGCCACTGTAGCTCCAGCAAATTTTTCACTCTTGCGAAACCCCAGTCGAAAACTGGAGCTCTGATACCACTTGTTGTGCGAAAGCGTCAACCAACTGTGAGTGAAAAATAAACAACTTGGCAAGGGATAAAGAAAACATAACAAACAACACCAACAAGAATACCAAGATTTATACTGGTTCGGCAATGCCTGTATCCAGTTTGGAGACGACGGAGTATTCCACTAAACTCAAATGAGAGAATACAATAGTATTTAACACTCAGAAACCCAAGCCCCAAATATACCCAAGCTCACACACTCAAGAATATAAAGGGAATACAAATTGAGTACATATCGAAAAGGGAAAAATAACTAATGGCAGTGATCGGTTCATAATTATATATCATTTTGTACCCTTCTAGCTTATGATTTGGTTATGTTTTTGAGTTAAACTTGTGCTTTTAATCCTTTTTGTGTTTATCTTTCAGCTTTAGGTAACAATGATGGCTTTGGATAGGAAATGATGCAATCCATGCATGTTAAAGCCTGATTTGGATAAAGGGAAGAAGAGCTTAAAGACAAACTCATTTTGGCTACAGCCCCCTGC